ATCTGTATTCTTCTAGCCACAGTAACGACTGCTGTCCGGAGGAAAGTCGAAGGAGGTGGGTACCTTGCATGGTCTCAACATTCATATACACCCAAGAGTATTGAAATTCATAAATAAATTTTAGGTGTCACACACATGCAAATATCCTTCAATTTTCGATATATGCTTTAAATGAATCAACATTTGAATGTCAAGTCGTTTGGTGACGAAAAACAATAAAATCAGTGTTATTACTTACTTAGAAAATATTAATTCTCGACAACTTGTGTCTAGTAATTTCAGCTCTTTTAAGACAGTAGTTTAGAAAATTTGTCAAGAATATATTTGTTTTGAATTGTTTTATATATAGAGCATATTGCAATAGAGTAATACTATCTCGGTTTTCTCGTGCTTGTGCAATACAGACTGTCTCGAGAGGCCTCCCTCCGGATCATGCTGGCCCAGGATGACTAGGTATTTCTACAGCGCCGAGATGAAGTCGTGTTTTCCCTTCCTGTGGAGTGTGTGTGATGATACGAACAGAGTCAACGTATTCGAGACAGAGCAAGAATGTTTAACTGTTTGTGATCATTAGTTTGTTTTAATTGTTTTGATTTCAATCCAAATTAAGAATAAAGTATATGTCTTTACTGTCTGATCATTATTTTGTATTCACTTTTCATGACATTATTTTTTTTATTCAAATAACCAAATCAATTCAATTTTCGCCGAAGCGTACACGTTCACAATTAATATAAATTCATTAAACACATTTAAATTAATAATATATCATATGACTCTTTCTTTCTTGAATTAAAACTTTGTGGTTGTGGCATTTAAGATAAGATAAGATAAGATTAAGATAAATTTTATATAGAGTCGGTGGGTATATAACAAAATAACATAAGCTCTGGAGAGCTTTTGACCGACATATACATATACACATACAGATACATGGTACATAAAATGCAATACATTAAGACATCATTTACTAATAGCACACACATATTGTTCATATATTACTTTGATTATAGGTATAGTGTTTCACAACACTCAAAGTCCATATACCATATATCAATAAATTGAATAAAATTAAAATAAATTAAAACAAGGCTTTGATATTAAAAGTTTTCATTGGAGACACTGTAGGCTGGATAAAGAAAAGATGAGGTTAGAGTAAGGTGAGATATTTATTATTTGCAGGCTGCACATTTACATTTTGTTCCATTCCATGAGGATATTAAAGATTTAAAATGGCCGTAATTTGTTGTGGTCCTAAAGGTTTCAGGAAGATTATTCCAAAGACAGGCTGCTGCATATTTGAAGGATTTTATACCGTATGTAGTAGTCTTAACATGTCGGATGTCCAAAATGTTTGTATATCTGAAGCTGTAATTTTGGGACTTGGGTGTGACAATGTTGTGGAGACATGGCGGTGTGGTTTTGTGTATGATTTTGTAGGTTTCTATAGCCATTTGCCTCATTCTTCTAATTTTCAAAGCAGGTATCTTTGCCCGGGCCAAAAGTTCATCGTAGTTGCTTGAGAAGTCATCATAAATAAATCTGAGTGCCCTATACTGAATTTTCTCAATTATTTAATATTTGTTTCCGAACAGAAGTGCCAGGAGAGTGGGCAAAAATTAAATAATGATAGTATGAAGGTGTGGAAAATTGTGAGTTTATTTAGTCTGCTCATGTGTTTTCTAATTCTGTAGAGTAAATTTAGTTGTTGTGAGGCTTTTCTACATATGGTTTTGATGTGGAGATCAAAAGAGAGCTTAAAGTCAATGTCAAACCTAGTAGTTTTACACTTTCTTGACATGGGATCGAAATATCATCTATTTTAAAAGAAATGTTTTGTGACCAGGTCTTTTTACTTATTGCAAGTGCTTGGAATTTGTCAGGATTTGCTTTCATTTTATTTATATCGAACCAGTTTATGAGATTTTTGGTGTCTTCTTCGAGTGCGGATGTCAGTTTTTCTAAGTTTGTAGATGAGTGTGATAGGGTATTATCATCAGCATAGTTGTATAGTTGACAGTGTTTTACAGCGAGGAAGATGTCATTAACAAATACGTTAAACAGAAGTGGGCCTAAGATTGAGCCTTGGGGTACCCCCTTTTATGATATTACTCCAGCTGCTAAAAGAGTCTTGAATCTTAATTCTTTGTGTTCTGTTGGTAAGATATTTTTTTCTACTAGGTTTAATGAATGTTCCGAAACTCCATAGGCTGATAATTTGTCAAGAAGAATTACATGTGGGAGACAATCAAATGCTTTAGATAGATCCATCAGAATAGCAGCTACATATTTGTTATCATCTATTTTTTGTTTCCAGTCTTCAAAAATTCTTAAAAGTACGGTTTGGCATCCATATCCTTTCCTAAAAGCACAGAGAAAGTTGTCAAAAATATGGTCGAAAAATTTGCTGAGTTGGTCAAAAAGTGTTCGTTCATAGATCTTGGATATGGATGGTAGTATGCTGACTGGGCGATAGTTACCTTTATCTAGTCTGTCTTTTTTCTTGGGTTGGATTTGGGCACGTTTTAAATTGTCGGGGAAAATTCCAGAAGTGATGGTTGTGTTGATGAGTTTGGTTATATGAGGGGTAAGGGAGTGTTGTCCTGCTCTGATGAGTTTTGCGCTGATGTGATCTAAAATGGGAGCCTTTTTAATGTTTAAACGTGAAACTATTTTTGTAATATCCTCTTCCTGAATCGTGATGAAATTAAATTGCAGTTTTCTATGATTTTGTTAATGCTCTCGTGTGTATCTGGGTTAAAATCAATGTGTTCTCCTATTTCATTAGCGGCATTTACAAAAAAGTTGTTAAAAATTTGGCATACCTCAGTTTTGTCAGAAATAATTTTGTCATCTTCCAATAAAACTATGTTAGATTGGTGTTTGTTTTTGTTCGAAAGGAATGGTTTGATTGTAGGCCAGAAATCAGTGTTCTTAGCTCCACCAGTACATCTTTCCATGAAATAATTGTTTATGGAGGATTTCTTTAGTTTGTTGACATGGTTTCTTTGAATCCTGTATTTTTCCCATGNGTTCGAAAGGAATGGTTTGATTGTAGGCCAGAAATCAGTGTTCTTAGCTCCACCAGTACATCTTTCCATGAAATAATTGTTTATGGAGGATTTCTTTAGTTTGTTGACATGGTTGGTCCGATGACGCTGTGGATAGGGCATTCGGACTACCAAGAGGGGATTAATATACGTTGCAAAAAGGTTTCATAATTGTTGTGAAATAAATAAAAGTGTGTTGTATCTTTGCTTGAATGATGATAGAATATCAAGACTCTTTGCACCATCAATATGGTTGTAAAAGGTAATATGACAGTTTATCAACGTCGTTAAGACCATTAGTGTTATTTGTTAGAAGTATTTACATGTAAAGTACATCAAGCCCATTTCACCGTACACTATGTTAGGAAAACATCTTATTCAGCCATGATATATTTTAAACTGTACATCTATATTATGATTGACAAAATGTATAAAATGTATAGACCCGTTACATTACCTGTGGGATTCTTTAAACAGCAAGATTATTTGGGTCATTCGTGCTACTTCATTTGTGAGATGCTTTCTAATGACCAGCATGTCGAGAGTTTTGGGCCATTTATTAATCTTATTCATAATAATATCGTCTGAAGTAGGACCTTCCTCGTGTGACGTCAGGTACTAGATGGATTATGCATTAGTTATAAGGGTACATAAACTGTGCAAACAAACAAAATTTATAATCATTTTGTTCCTTTTTACATGAATATGAATGCGTGTGTCATCTCTGTAGCCAAAACAGTTTCTAGGATATTTACTTTAAATTAAGAATTATTTTTATCAGGAAAACCCCCCACATTTGTTCCCGCTCAATGTCATTTCCATATGGTCTAGATAGCCGAATACTAAAAGTTTTATGGATAACCGTGTTTTGTTACTTGACATGTTCCTTGACATTATTTAAATGGTTGTAAAAAGGAAAAACAGAGATTATGAGGGAAGACTCAAATATAACTTCCTGGCTCATTACCATGTTTTCGTTGTTGAAGCTTAAGAGTCCATATCTTCTAGATACCCTCGTGTGATACCTAACACGGTTAGCTTTGTATTGATTGACTTTTCTTGCTCCTTGGATAATTTTAATGATTTCAATAACAAAAATGTATGTTACATTGAAATGTCATATGGGGAGGTCCTACCTTAATGTATAATTATCGTAGGTTGGTTGAGGAACACGTATAAACACTCTTGCATGTACAAAATCACAGAATCGTGTTAAGGTGACAATAATGTATTCTATACTGTTTTCCATTGAGCAATGGTATAACCACAATTATTATACCTTCTGTTAAAATCTCGTAATCTGATTGGTTGAGAAAGATGTGAACATTTTCAATGTTACTTGCTCGTTTTACAAAGATAAAGAAGACTGGGTGACATTCCAAAAAATATCCCATGCGCCAAACGTATGCGTGCACGGTTCGTCCCAGTGCCAGGGTGTTATTCCAAAAAATATCACAAGCGCCAAGCGTATGCGTGCACGGTTCGTCCCAGTGCCAGGGTGTTATTCCAAAAATTGTTACATGCGCCAAACGTATGCGTGTACGGTTCGTCCCAGTGCCAGGGTGTTATCAAATAACATTCATGGTTGGTTCATTCGACAACTGTTGAGATGAAGTCTTGGTTTATGTCAAATCAACACAAGGACCTTTAAAAATGGTTAAGTGGTGAAACACCTAAACATGACACTCGGTATAATAAAATAAAAAAACACATNCCATTTATGAAATTGATAATACCTTATTCAAGTTCCATCTGCTAGCGATATGTCCTTCCAAATAGATTTGTATGGCAAATTTGACTTATATCACCACGATATCGTCGTTTACCATAAGTATGACGTGGCAGGTCAAAGATATCAGTAACAATAGAAGTGTTATCAGTAAAAAGTGAGCTTGTCAAGCAAACTCCGCAAAAAAACGAGGGATCACAAGAAAACAATAGACACCAAGCCAAATTATTTACTATTTTTATTGTGTGCCATACATAACATTGCTCCGGATTGAACTTCACCACAAGTCAACTCTGAAACATATAAATAAAACTATAGCTTATAAATTATATCAACCAAAAACAAAACTCGAGTAATGAGAATGAATCATAAACTATGTCTTTCCTACTCAGACCGTGGAATAGTAAGTAACCTAATCAATAAAATAAACATCGCCAGGACTACACTTTTATTAAATGTTTGTATCTAATAACTAAATTTCAAGTTAACATTTATTTACAATATAACAATTATCGTTGCCTTGCTACCAATATGTGACAAACGTTACAACGTTGACCAATAATTACCTAAATATGTGACAAACGTTACAACGTTTACCAATAATTACCTAAATCAGGATAGGCTGTACAAATTATAATGTTGTAATATATGTCAGGATTGAAGATATTTTCACTTTGTTTTACTGACACATACTATTTCCTAGAATTGACAGAAGGACATGGTTACGTGTACGCAATATGGTGCATGAGGCGGGTTCACCCCGCCTTGTTTGCGGGTTCATATGTTATTGGTTTTACTTAAACGCCTCTTGCAGATCAAATTTTGCCTCTGTATGTTGACAAATATTGAACATTTTATTTTTGTTTAAAGTTAATCGTTTGACACAGACTTTTGCATTATTTATGATAAACTTTATACATGTTATGCTGTACAGAATATAAGTAATACAGTACCCTTCGATTGGACTCTTTGCACAGGTACACCTTGGGCAATTACCGTCGTTCTTGAAGCCAAAAGGACAAAATTTTCTGCATGTAGCCAAACATGGCAGTGATAGCACTGTGAAATAAAATATACAAAAGTCAGAAGCGTGAAGCCAGATGGTTTGGTTTCGTTTGTGTACAAGATCAGATTAAATAATTTGGTAATGTGCACGTAACCTAAATGAACCAATGTATGAATGAAACTATTGTAATGTTAATTAAAGTTTTACTTTTGTCAGTTCACGCCTGTATACTTTCAACACTTTAGAACATTTTCTTATTGTTATTCTTTTCTTTTGTGCCCCTAGCTAAAATCATACTAAACCCGAAGTCCGGAATAAAAAGTTACTTTTTGATTACATGAAGACGGAAACATCCATCCACCTACAATATATTTGATACAATCTTACTACAAAGTTAGTATTTTTTTCATTGGTTTACAGTACGTTAGATAGTCCACTTTGGATACCCATAGAGTTGGATTGTTAATTCTGATATGTTTCCCTTCGTCTATTCTACAATACCTGAGTCGCCTCCAATCTCCTGTTCGTTCATGGAAATCAAATTGTGTGCTTAGATTTGTAAACATATAACATAACTGCAGTCACGTGTCTTGCAAAGAAATCCGATAATAATTCATTTGCAGAAAAATAAAGTGATGGCATAGCAGCAGTGTAAACATCAGATTTCTGGTTTGTGAAGATTGTTTTTAGAAAGACTACAATTACCACTGCTGTGGTGATATCATTTGTAAAGAAACGATGTCATCGAAAAAGCATAAACAAACACACTGAGGTACAAGACGTCAGGCGCGTGGATATATATCTTAGTCATTAAGAAGGGAAACAGGTGTGAAAAAGATAACATTCTCAAACTCTCACACGAAAACAAACACCAGAAACCTTTCGACTGACCCGAAATACTATTAAAAATAACGCAACATAATGTTTCCTTTCTATAATGTCATATTCTACTATCATTTCACTGACAACATGTATTTTTTTTGCTGCATTTGATCCACATTTGTATCATATAACATGAGTAGCACATCATAATCTCCCACACATCGAATCTGAGTAAATACAACTGTTTATATAGAGTACATACATTTAAAGCTCGTTACTGTGGTCATCGCCATCAGCATCAGCAGACAAAGAGCAATATTCGTCCCCTTCATGTCGAGATTCGCAGGAGCCCAAATTAGTTAGCAAATCGGTTTGTGTGGGATCAGATTTGTGTACTTATAGTCTGGGAGTATTTGTAATTCTGTGAAAAACCAACACCTGTTGCTGACAGTCTATCGGTCATACCGACACCTGACAAATTATATGGAATATAGTTTGATGTGTTTACTGCCTGCCATGTCTATGTCTAGATAATATGGCAGATCGACATTTTGATGAAGTAACTTAACAACATCTGTTTACTGGTAGCGCGCCTAAACGTGTAAACTACACGATAGGTGTTGATCAATAACAAATAAATAACAAGTATGCAGAAATATTTTGTATGATTAGCAAAACGGAACCAAGTTGAATGCTGAAGTAACTTAACTTTAGATTTTCTAAAAATAACATGATTTTAAATGTTTACTGTCGTCTTAATCCAAATATCTATTACACAGTAACTTCTCTAGCGCGAATAATATGAATGATTTCCTGGAATTGGAATTTTGACCAGCTAAAACACGAGTTACGTTCAGGTTTCCCAGGGATGTTTGGACGCTCAGATACTGAGAATACTATTTCTTCCATGAGATGTTAGGATATTACAATATGAAGTAAAGTTTTCCTATGATGTAAGGGCGCCAGCCTACTGAGTTAACTTTATGGTTTCCTAGGATTTTAGAACGCTACATATCAACTAAGGCCGCTAAAATACGAAAGTTTTCCTATGATGTTAGGGCGCCAGCCTACTGAGTTAACTTTAGGGTCCCTCGGATGTTAGAACGCTACATATTAACTAAGGCCGCTAAAATACGAAAAGTTTTCCTGTGATGTAAAGACGCTAAGGTAACGAGTAACACAATGTATCTGCTTTCTTACAAATATTTTAATCTTGGCATTGAATTCACATTCGCTACACACATATTTGCTTTTTCTATCTATTCCATTTTATTGGTAACTACAATTATCGACACGTATACAATACAAGAGAGCCTAACCAGCTTTTTATGTAAGTAAATTCTTTGGAAAAAACTGTAGGCCTAGAACAATATTTATAAGTTTCCCCTTTCATCAGCACACATATGCTATTCATCATTATGTGTCCGACCAAGGGCCGGTATCATTTGATAATGACTTGGGCGCGTAGTGTATTCCGATTTATTTTATTTGCAACAATCGTCCTATCATTTCACTGCACCGAAGCCAACAGGTTGTCAATAGGAGAGAAGTGTTAATGTAATCTCGTGGCTGATGTAGTGTACACCGTGTCCCCGTCGACCCTCGTGACAGATTAAAACTAAAACCTAACACGGTGAGAACATGTGTTTCCATGTTCCCTTTTGCGTTCTCGTTTTTATTTCCTTACTCCCTACAATGCTAACACATTGATTGTGATGGATTCGTGAGGTGTATCCATAAAAGTCCTGCAGCTCTGAAGTCCATTTTACACTTTGGCTATCGCATACTTAAAACTAATTGAAGGAGAGAAGTAACGTTTCCTATGTAGTGTGTAGTTCACATGTTTTGTGGTTTTTATTTACATAAGATTGCAGCAAACTACTTCAATTTTTTTTGAACGACCACATGAACTGTGTCTCTAGATTCCTAGCAACGATGCTATAAGAGATTACTACTGGTCTGAATAGTTTTATACCTATATGTTATTGAACAACTGTTGCAACAAAGGTAGATAGTAATGACAAAACCGTATACCTGAACGTGCAGTCGAGCCGATTGCAGCGACTCACAATCTAACACCTACAGACCTATTTATATGTTTCTTTAAAAACTGATTTTTGAAAGGTAGATTTATGTAGATGAAGCATGTGAGAGAGTTCACTGTTCCTATTACAAAACATTCGGAAACCTAACTGTTACCTCTTTTTGACTATCGATTTCACATAATATTTGGCCTAAAGTTACATCATTCGCGACCTGTTTTCCTCATCCAATAGCAATTTACACTATGTAATCATTCTTAATTCTGTCAATTAAACATTCCTCCCCGCACAGAGAAGCGTTTTAAGTAAGTCAGCATTACATTGGTGAAATTATTGAAATTCAGACAGAGAAACACAGCCGACTAATTGTGGGTACAATGTTAACATTGTCCAAAATGTCCAACTTTTTCCAAATACAGCTAACCTGACTGACTTCTAATCTTATGGCATAAATAACTTATTTAAGAAGATCTCATTCTGTGATAATATATATATATATTTATGTCCAATCTGCAAAATGTGATAGAAATGTATTCTTTGCCTTTTACCTGAATAAATAATATTATTATTATTAACAGACACTAGTGAAATATATACAAGTTTATTAGATCCACGTGAAATAAGGATGCCTCGTTGAATTAAGGAGTGGGTTGAAAATGATGTTAATACTGAACCACAAGATTTTTTTGAAGACGTTTTTAAATTGGAATTTGTAAAGGGCCTGTTTCCAGTAATGTTAATTCTCCATAGGAGCCTGCCCCCGTATAATTTCTTATCTAGCTCAACTACTGTTTTTTTCTTTTCCGAAGAATAATTTTACACCTTTCCGACACCCAGATTTCATAATTTCAGTGAAAATGTATTTTTATAAAGTTGTCAATTTCAGCATCAAAGACATAAGTTCGTAAATAAAAGAAGGTTATCTCGAAATTGTAATTCGCAACATAGTATAAATTTCTTTTGATAAATATTTCCAAAACATCGTGTTTATTCATAAAACAAAAAAAAAAATATTCTCGGATGAAAATGCACTTGCAGAGACACAATTATGAAGAAAAATGCCATAAAATTGCAATTTTCTCCCGTTATATAGTTTTGGATGCAAATTTCCATCAGAAAATCGGATAGAGCTTTACTTGTTTCATATGTGTACCAAAAATCAGCTAATTCCATGTGGTGGAACGTTCTCATATCGCCGCCTGAATGTGGTTGTAAATTGAAAGAAAAGGGGAAATGAGTAACAACCTTGTCTGAAACCCTATTATATAGCTTATTATATACAAACTTTTATATTGAATATCAGAGCGGATATTTTCATGACAGTTTTATGATGTGTAACGACTAAATAAACAGTATCGATATAAAGATTTACACTGAGGACACCCTGATACATGAATACTGTTCTATCTCAAGTTGTCCTCTTCTGAATTTTCTGATCGTGTGGCCTTGTACATTTATCCGTATCTTCTTGTCTTTGTCTATACGTTTACGGAATCATTGACTCGACGCTAGCTATTCTTGTCTCACTTTCCTTGTTTTATTGTCCCATCTCCAAAGCGTTGTGGCTCTGTCAGGGTTGGGACCCTGACTTGTCTCACTTTCTTTGTGCCTGCCGACCACGCCACATCGAATAGATAGATTATCCATATGAAATACTTTATTTTGTTCTAAGTAATCAATCAATTCTGCGCTTCTTGGAGGTATTGAATGTGATTTATTATATTGTCTTGTTATTTTGTGTAATTAGTTGTTCGTTATTTATCACACATTTTCGCATAATTGTACCAAACTACTAAGTATTAGCTGTTTACAGCAATCATCGGTGGCTTGCTATTTTGTTACTTTATCGACGCTTCATAAACCAATCGTTATTGTTTCAAGATGGAGGGTAAATGTGTTGGAGAAGGGTGTCAAGTATACTTCAAGAAACGTAGTGGCAATAAGAACAGAAGTGCACGCAATGTAAATAGTCCACAATATAAATGGCTCCTAGATACGCTGGTGCAACAAGGATTGATGTCAGCAAAGGAACAAGCACTTATTTGCCAGAAGTGCTACATGAAGTATCTTCGGAACAAAAATCAGCCTGAACCTGAACCCGAGCAGAACCAGGAAATAGAGGAAGAAGACGACTCCCCGTCCCATATCCTGCCGTTGCTGACCCTTCATGATCTTTTGAATGGATCATCTTCACACAAAAAATGCTGTCTCTGTCTTGTTACCTTTGCAAGAAATGGAACAAAATCATCAGTCTTACCAAAACGTGCAAGACATCACCTGATCTATTCACACAAACTGTGGTGTCCCACCTCATCCCGCGTCTGCTCCATTCACCTTATTGGTAACGACTTAGATCCGTCTACAGAGGTTGTCCTTGATGGTAGAGGTTCCTTGGAATCTCAGTTACCATCAAAATCGTCCGAAATCATTAATGACCTCCTAGAGGTGTCGCACGTCCTTTCACAGAACCAGTCTGCGTTTACAATAAGCTTTTCTTCTCTTGATGACTCGGCATGCATGGCCTGGACAGGTTGGTCCAAAGATCAGTTCCTCGAAATCCACTCGCACTGTTCCCCATATCTTTCATCTGGTATATATACCAAGACTACACACGATGCTCTATTACTGTTCTGGGTAAAACTGAAAACCGACATTTCCTGGAGTCAGTGTTCTTCTCTTTTTGGAATTTCCAAGTCAAGTGTGTCCAAAACTTTCCACTCCATAGTACAGGCATTAGACACATCGATAGTCCCACAATTTCTAGGTCCGGATCACTTGACAAGAGAACAGTTGCTCGGGCACAATACTGTCTTTTCAGAAGCATTTTTTGGAGATAAAGCCACTGCCATATTAGATGGCACCTATATTTATATCCAGAAAAGCTCCGACCACAAGCTCCAGAGAATGTCCTACTGTGGCCAGAAGAAGAGAAACTATCTCAAATTCATGAGCATCGCCTTACCAGATGGCTACATTCTGGACACAGTAGGACCATTCACTGGCAGCGAAAATGATGCTACAATTACAAAAAAAGTCATGGACAAGCTAGTTACTTGGCTACAACCAGACGACAACGTTGTCGTTGACCGAGGTTTTAGAGATGTCCTACCAGTTCTCGAAGCCTCTGGCCTCAATGCTAGCATGCCGTCATACCTGAAACCCGGTCAAAGTCAACATTCTGACGTCCAAGCAAATCTTGACAGAACTATCACCAAATCGAGGTGGATTGTGGAATCCTATCATGGTCGTCTGAAACACTGGACGTTCTTCCGAACGCAATTGGTGTCTAACAGCTTTATCAATGTCATCGAGGCTTTGCTTCGAACCGTCACAGCCTGTCTGAA